GGGGGTGGGGGGGTGGGGGGGGTGGAAGCCCCTATTGGACAACCTTGACCTGTCCAATGGAGCCTCTCCGTAACCATCCTCGCTTTCTTTCCAGCCAAAAACATCTTCCGGGTCCGTTTCCGGGACTCCTCCTCAGGCCAGTCCCACACGCTGCAGGCCAACGACATTTTCCACAAGCAGCAGTGGGTCAACTGCATCCAGGCGGCCGTCGCGCCCTTCCAGCCGAGCCCCGTGCCCTTCGAGATGAAGGACCTGCCCGAGCTGAGTGAGGAAGGCGAGGAGAACCAGCCCTTCGGCTCCAGCGCTAAAATCCAGAGGAGACAGCCTTCCGCCTCGGGCAGCTTCCGCACGGATCTGGGCGAGAACGGGACGGAAGCCGACGCGGCGGGAGAGCTGAGGAACGTCAAAAGTTACCGGATGCATTCAGCGCTCAGGAAAAGCAGGGACAAAAACCAGCTCAGCGTCAAACGGAAAGAGACTCTGGTTTAAATAGCGGGGAGCGAACGGCTTCCTCGCTCTTTTATTTATAAATAAAGTGTACATTTTCTTTCCTGTAATGTGAGAATGGTGAACGGTCTCCCCTTCTCTCTTTGTCGGTCTTTTTGTGTTACATGTGAGTCTTGGGGTTTTTTTTCCTCCTCCCTTCCTTCCTTCCTTCCTTCCTTCCTTCCTTCCTTCCTTCCTTCCTTCCTCCCTCCCTCCCTCCCTCCCTCTTCCCTTTCTTTTTTCTTCCCTTTCTTCCTCTTTCTTTTCTTTTTCCCTTCTTATTTCCTTTCTTTTTTCCTTTCCTTTTTTTTTAAAGGCAGCTATTGGTTTTTCCGCAAACGTTGTTGAACCGGCGTCTGACCCCTTTTGGGGGGGGGCTAGAGCAGCGCGGGCGTCCTCGAAATTAAAGGCACATATTTCTGGATGGCAACGGCAGATTCCGGAGTTCTCGTTCCTTCTGTAATACCGGGAAGGAAAAACGTTCTCCAAAGGGACTGCAAACGTGTTAAAAATTGCCTTCCGGATACAAATGGCCTGTTTTTAAAAAATGGTGGGAGGGGGAGAAAAAATTGGGATTTGGGAGGGATTTCAATGATTTTGATTCTCTGGAGAAAAAAAATGTCCGATTATCAACTTCTAGGATGTATCTGAATCGTGGTGACTTTAAGACGGGTTGGACTTCAACTCCCAGAATTCCCCAGCCAGCCTATAGGCTGGCTGGGGGAATTCTGGGAGTTGAAGTCCAACCCGTCTTAAAGTCACCACGATTCAGATACACTGCTTTAAATTTAAAGGTGCCCAACCATTCCTCCCCAAAAGACCCCGGGTCCAACACGTTTCCCTTCGAATGACTGGAATTCTCTACTTGGTGGCGTGCTTTTCCTCCTGCGAATTGCTACGCCACATATTTAATCTTGTTTGTTTTTTTTAAAATATTATTTGAATACTTTTGTAGACCCTTTCCTTTTACACTTCCATACCTGTGTCGCTTCTTTCTCGAAACGGACCCCTATGTTCTCTCCCCCCACCTCCCTTTTCTTGATGCATGAGTGCCGGTATATATACTATTTCTTGATTCAAAGCCAATTCAGAGCGGCTAAAAACCATAGATCCCTGGAGACATTGGTGTCGCAGGGGATAATAAACCAGACCGGTGTTCCCACATTTCCAACAGATCTGGGATTTAGAGGGATGTGGGGTGGGGTGGGGGGGCTTTTGAATAGGTCAGAGGAGAGAAAAATTTCCTCTCCGTGTCCAAGGTGGAGCTGCGGCGGTTAGGAATTGGCTACCTTAAATAAGGAGGAAGGCTGAAGTTTTTGTTGGGGTGTGTAGCAGTGGGGGAAGGTTGAACTTTTCAACTGCTGGAAGGGAGTGAAGGAAAGAAAGGTTACAGAAGATGGATAAAAGGGGAGAGAGAAAGTGTGCGATAAAAGGTGGGGACAAATTCTTTTGAAAGGCATCAAAAGATGCGACCGAAAGGGGGAAGGCACAGAAAAGCACGTCGTAAAGTCGGTTAAGAGGGTTAGCGAGGGGTTTGTTACTGTGTTGGGAACGGGGGAAAAGATGAATGTAGATGTTGGTTTACTGGCAGTTCTCTACGAGGATTGATGGCCAGGTGGGAAGAAGGCTCAAAAAACGCAAGAAAATAAATATAAATAAATTTTAAAAAAGCCGCCACAAGCTACTACTTAAAGCTACTACTTAAAACCAGCCCGCCTGAAAAATTACCTCCCCAAAATTGGCCCAGTTAAGAAGTAAAATGAATAAATAATACGGTGTTTTCTGCTTGTTTTTTTTTCCCTCTCTTTTTTT